AGAACATGCAAACTCCACACAGAAAGTCCCTGGCCTGATGGTGGAATTGAACTGAGGACCTTCTGGCTGTTGGGCAACAATGCTAACCCCCCCTCCAACCCCTTTTGTAGTCATGCATATGAATTAGTTCAGCTTTATGATTGAGTAACCGAGTGTTAATGTCATACAGAGCTTCTTCGCTCATGAGTTGAATAGCAAAGGCCAGATTTAGCCTTGTATGGCTTTAAGCTCTACATGTAGCAAACATCTGATGATAAAAGTTGATTATAGGTTGCTTTGGCGAGAGGACTCTCGGACATCTTTTTTGAAACACACAGTTTTAACATTAAGTGTCATTTGTGTACCAAGAAAGGTCACACGCAACTTCACAAATATCAGATGTAAATCCTGTTGGCAGACCGTTTGTTTAGCAAAAGGTTTCTTCATCTCAGGCCTCTAGCATGTTCTAACATGTTCCTCTAGTACTTTTCCTATAGTAATCATTTCCTGGTTCTAGTAATCGTTGGAGGTGGTACCGCTTTTTTTTTTTTTTCTTTATCTGCCCCAGAGGATCTAAGGACCAATGAGGTTTTTTCTTTATCTTCTGCAGAGTAGGTACTCTAAAGTCCAGGCTTTCATGAGCTTGGACTTCAGTGCGAGGAAATGCAACAATTTCCTACAGCTTGTTTGAAGGGAATTGCTGTGGTTGGTTTTGCATTTCCAACTATTAGACAGCTATTACTTCACTCCAGAGCTCCTGGAAGATGTACAAATAGGAATAAGTAGTCCCCGTTTGCACCAAAAGTGGCGCATTGCTCTTAAACCATGCTCCAAGTCCACTGCTTAAGCAAAGCAGACTGGGAACACATGTCAAGTTAATGTGAAGTTAAATTAAGCCAGCAAATGAATTGCAGACCAACAGTATCTATTGGTCCATGTATGGATACAGACCCTAAACATGCAAGTAGCATCTGACATATGGGCACTGGATGCTGCTCAGCAGCTATTATTCGAGCTTTAGTTACATATTATGGCAGCAAAATGAAAGAAATGCATGTGACTGTGTGCTGCGTAAGCTGACCTGTCAGGAGTTATTAAAAGAAAGCCAGCTGGTTTTTTGTTGCCTCTTACTTAACAGAGTTTAGTTGCCTGGTTGGGAGTTGCCTACAGCACACATATCTTGGCATCCTTTCAGTTGGACATCATTTTAGTGTGATCCAGGATCAAATACGAGCTAAAGTCAGCTGGTGTTGTGTCCATGCTTTCAACAGTGAACAAAAAAAAAGGAAGCAGAGTGAATGATGTCAATGTGAAAAGTGTAAATATGTGAAATAATTAATTTTTGCTTTTGCATTTGGACCAGAGAGGTCTGTAACATGAGAGTGGCCAGTCTTTCTAAGAAAAGGCAGACGATCCACGTTACTGTCCATAGGGGCACGATATTCAGAGGGCAACGAAAGTCTGT